AAAAAGCTGTTCCTAAAGTATTAACTACAATTTTTATTGATAGTTCATCTCACGATAAAAATCTCACAACAGGAAAATAACCTAAAGCAGTCATATGATAGTGCAAAAAATTAAAATTTAAAAGCTATCAAGACTACATTATAAAATTTTCAAAAGCCTCCTAATATCTAAATAAACAGGGAAAGTAGAAGAATATCATGTATGGAAAAATATCCTATAAGTAAATTACATTAGAAAATTTGTACTTTAGAAAATTAATTATAATGCTAACAGCAAGACACCCATGAAAAACACACATGGTGTCAAAACAAGCCAGAGGAAAATCATTTGGGTAAAAAAATGAAAAAGGATCCCAAATCAAATTTATAGAAAAAATTCCTTTATTAACTTTTGGTGGAGAATATGTTTATATATTTTCAGAAAAAAAACTCTGAGACCATGTGGATTCTGGCAACAGAAAGGAATTGACAGGACTACTCCAACCATGAAGACAGAAGAGAAGCAGTCCAGAGATAGAAGACCCGATGACATCTTGCCATAACAGCATTCAGCAGCTGTGTATCACTGCAGGTTGCCCAGGACCAAACCTGAGAGGGTCGGATCTGCATTACCACCATTTGTCCACCATCCAGAACTGAAATATCATTGCGGACATATACACATAAGGAACTGTTTGATATTGAAATTGGGTTTCAGAAGAATTGTTGGCCCAGAAAGAAACTCACTACAGACTGATTCATATACCTTTCAGCATAACCATTATTGCTTGTCTCATTTTTGATTCTTATATTTCCAGTAGGACATGATCTCATTCATCTAGTGGAAATGGTGAACAACATAGACGGATGAACAAGAACAGACCCAGAGATAAGAGCCATGGGTCATACTGTTGGACCTCAAAGGGAGGGTAGGGATAAAAGGGAGAGATCAACCAAAGGACTTGTGTGCATACATATGAGCCCAACCAGTGATCAAGGACAATAAGGGGATGGGGGCATGAGTGGGAAGGGGTGGGGGATTGGAATGGGGAGTTGAGGACAAGTATGTGATACCTTTAAAGAAATTTTAAAAAATAACATAAAATAAAAAAGAGGGAAAATCTGTAAAATAAGAATGACTTTTAAAAATAAGTGAAGTAGAGAGAACCAAGGTGGCGGCATAGGTAAACACCTGTATTTGCTGCCTCTCACAACCATATCAAAATTACAACTAAAAGACAGAACAACTCTCATCAAGAACCACGGAAAAGCTGGCTAAATGAAAGTACTACAACCAGAGAGGTGAAGAAAGCACATTGAGACTGGTAGGAGAAAAGAAACCAAGATGGCGGCATAAGGTATACACCTGTACATGCTGCCTCTCACAACCATACCAAAACTACAACTAAAAAACACAACGACTACCATCCAGAACCATAGGAAAGCTGGCTGAGTAGACGTTCTACAACTACCCTGTTTCCCTGAAAATAAGACAGTGTCTTATATTAATTTTTTCTCCCAAACTTGCACTAGGTCTTATTTTCAGGGGATGTCTTATCTTTCCATGCGCTAGGTCTTATTTTCGGAGGATGTCTAATTTTGGGGAAACACAGTAGAAGAAAAGAAAAAAATGCATTGAGACTGGATAGGAAGTGCAGAGGTGCGGAAAAGCAGAGGTACAGAGGCGCACAAACCAGGCTGGCAACTAGGTGCGCTGTTTTTAAGTTCCTGAGTGCTCTGAACTCCAGTTTCTTCCAGCGAGACTCTGGGAACCCAGACTCCTATGGGGATAAACTGGACTATCTGGCATCTGGTCATAAAGTGAGAGTGGCTTTCTCACAGAGGTGCTCGCAGGGATCATTGTTACTGCATGGGGACATGGGACGTGGAGATGCTGAGATACGGAGACAGCTGACTGGCAGCCATCACTGTTTGCTCTGCCCTGGTGACTCCCTAAGACCCCACCCATTCATAACCCCATCCAAGCTGTGTGCAACAGCTTTTACATATGAAAGGACTGTCCTTTCACAGCCTAACCTAACAAACTGCAGCTGGGTCAGAGAGCTCCAGAACTTCTAAGCCCCAAACAAAGAGGAGAAATCTGCATATTTTGCTGTAGTTCCTGATGGTCCCAGCCAGTGGTTGACTTTGCACCTCCTTGGAGAGCCAGTGTACCTAGTGTTCAGTGTGAGACAAAATCAGATTGCAACTTCTCACATCCATAAGTGTCACACTCAAGAGGCAGACTCAGTGAGCACCAAAGCCCTATTGAAGCAAGTCTTGTCCCATAAGGGTGTCTCCAGCACAGCATTTCTTCCATTTTAGACAAAGTGGCTACTCACAGCCAGTTGGCCTGGAGGTCAGTTCCTCTCAGTGATACCAACAGCAATCAAGGCTTAACTACAATAAGTCTGTGCACACAGCCAACAAAGGGGTGCACCAAGAGTGTCCACCTCAGGTGATCGGGGAGGCTGAGGCACTGGGCCCTATAGGACACCTACCACACAAGGCCACTCTGTCAACACAGGGAAGCAGCCAAAATGCGGAGATAAAGAAACATGTCACGAATGAAAAAAATGGAGGAAAGCAATCTACTGGATATAGAGTTCAAAATCACAGTTATAAGGTTACTCAAGAATCTTCTAGAAACCTTGGAGGAACTTAGCAAGACCTTTAAGGATCTTAATGAGAATGCCAAAAAATGAAAAAGGACCAGTAAGAAATTAAGCACACACTGTCTGAAAGAAAGAATATTATATAGAAATTCAACAGTAGACCAGAGGATCCCAAGAAACAAGTCAAAGATTTTAAATTTAAAAAAAAAAAAAAAAAAACGAAAGAAAAAGAATCCAAAAATATGAAGATAGTGTAAGGAGCCGCTGGGACAACTTGAAACGTACCAACATCTGAATTATGGGGGTACCCGAAGAGAGAGAGCAAGATATTGAAAACCTATTTGAAGAAATAATGACTGAAAACTTCCCCTACCTGGTGAAAGAAATAGACTTACAAGTCCAGGAAACGCATAGAACCCCAAAAAGAGTAATCCAAAGAGGACCCCACCAAGACACATCATAATTAAAATGCCAAGGGCCGCCCTAACCAGTTTGGCTCAGTGGATAGAGCATCGGCCTGCAGACTAAAAGGTCCCAGGTTCAATTCCGGTCAAGAGCATGTGTCTTGTTTGTGGGCACATCCCCAGTAAGGGGTGTGCAAGGGGCAGCTAATCAATGTTTCTAATTGGTGTTTCTGGCTATCTTTCTCCTTTCCTCTCTGTAAAAAAATCAATAAAATATATATTTCTTTAAATGCCAAGGGCAAAAGACAAAGAGAATCTTAAAAGCAGCAAGAGAAAAACAGTTAGTTACATATAAGAGAGTACCCATACAACTGTCAGCTGATTTCTCAACAGAAACTATGCAGGCCAGAAGAGAGTGACAAGAAATACTCAAAGTGAAGAATAGCAAGAACCTACAATCAAGATAACTCTACCCAGCAAAACTATCATTTAGAATTGAAGTTCAGATAAAGAATTTCACAGACAAGAAAAAGCTAAAGGAGTTCACCACTACCAAACCTGCATCATATGAAAAGCTGAAGGTTATTCTTTAAGAAGAGGAAAAAGAAGAAAAAGGTAAAGGTAAAAAAAATTATGAACAACAAAGTGACAACAAATACATATCTATCAAGTGAATCTAAAAATCAAATGAATAAAAAATCTGATGATCAGAATAAACTGGTGAATATAATAGAATCAGGGGCATGGGAAGAGAGCATATTCACAATTCTCAGGGGGAAGAGATTGGACAAAGATCTTACACCTGTGGACGAGGATAGTGGAGGGACAAGGGGGTGGGGTGGGAACCCGGTGGAGAGGAGCTATGGGTGGGGAGGAGAAAAGAAGAACTTCTGTAATAATCTGAACAATAAAGATTTTTTTTTAAAGTTAGTGAATTAATGAAATCTCCATTATTGCCTTTTTAGGAAGTGGAAAAAATGCAGCTTTTGTAATATTAGTATACCTATTATATGCATGTCACATTGATAGGCTGTATAGTGTACAAGAAATGAGTAATTCTTGCTTTTAAGAAATGTATTGCCAGCCAAAGCTGGTTTGGCTCAGTGGTAGAGCGTTGGTCTGGATTGAAAGGTTCCAGGTTCGATTCTAGTCAAGGGCATGTACATTGGTTGCGGGCACATCCCCGGTAGGGGGTGTGCAAGAGGCAGGTGGTCGATGTTTCTCTCTCATCAACGTTTCTAATTATCTCTCTCCTTTCCTCTCTGTAAAAAATCAATAAAATATATTTAAAAAGAAAGGAAGAAAAGAAAAGGAAAGAAAAGAAAAGAAATGTATTGCCAGTAATTTGGAGGTAGGGTGGGAATTAGGCCAGTAAGCCCCACCCCTACTCTTCCACACACCCCTCCCCCGCCCAAGAAAAAGGAATAAGGTGAGAGTTCATATAGAAATCTTCCCAATCCCTGGCCAACGTGACTCTATAGAAAAATCTTCTCAAGCCCTGGCCAATGTAGCTGTTGGTGATTTGATTCCCAGTCGGCACTTAGCAGATTTCGATGTTTCTCCCTCCCTCCCTCCCCCTCTCCTTCCCCTTCTCTGAAATCAATAAAAATATATTTTTTGGGGAAAAAATAGGAGATGAAATTAGAAGGATAGATTGGGGGTCAAATTGGATAAGCATTGGGGCAGTGTCTTATCGCCTATATGGTAGCCACTAGCTACATACAGCTATTGTGCCTGGCCCAAATTGAGATGTACTGTAAGTTTAAAATACATACCAGATTCTAAGATTTAGCACACAAACCCATATGAAACATCTCATTAAAAACTTGTATATTGATATGTTGAAATAATTATATTTTAGTTGTAATTTATCTATTATTTATTTTAATGCTACTTTTTGCAGGAGAAAAAATGCTGTTTAAAGTTAACTTTTGAATTGCATCTTTTTGACATATCCTTTATGTTAACTGCTTCTCAAAGTATTTACCTTATTTCTTTTGTAGATTTTATAATGGGCTGCATTAAAAGTAAAGAGAATAAAAGTCCAGCAATTAAATATAGAACAGAAAACACTCCAGAACCTGTGAGTACAAGTGTAAGCCATTATGGAACAGAACACACTCCAGCAACACCGTCTTCTGCAGCAAAGGGAACATCTGTTAATTTTAGCAGTCTTTCCCTGACACCATTTGGAGGATCCTCAGGGGTGACACCTTTTGGAGGATCTTCTTCCTCATTCTCAGTGGTGCCAAGTTCATATCCTGCTGGTTTAACAGGTGAGATTTAAATGGACAATTCTGTTGTAAGTTTGAGAATATGACCTTGGGCAATACATGCATAAGGTTTGCCTGCTGTAAGAAAAATAACTTACTGGTTGACTTTTAAATAAGTTTGTTAAAATTAAAGTCTCTTAACATAAAAATTAAAGTGTTTTTGTATACTTGGATATCTTTTTTGGGAAATCTGGTAATAAACTGACAGTGATTATGTACCAGGTTACACCATTAAGAATTTCATTAATTCACTTTTCAAGTAATTATTAGGTGCCTACTGTGTGGCTGGCACTGAGGATATAAAGATTTAAAACATAATGTAAAATACAGCCTAGAGAATATAGTCATAATTATGTATGGTGTCAGATGCATACTAAATCTAACCAGGGTGATCACTTCATGAGATATATAAATGTCTAATCACTATATTGTACACCTAAAACTATGCCTATTAGTAATTATGGTCAAACCTCGTTTCTAGAACATCTCCCATCTTGAACAGTGCGATTCTCCACCAAGTTGTTCAGAGAAGAAATGTCTCCATTGTTGACCAAAACTTCAATTTTTGACCTGATAACCCTTTTATGCTCATACCTCAGCATGACAAAAGCGTCCCTCAGGCAACAAAAAAGAGGATGCTTTTGTTGTTGGAGAAATCAGTGATTAACTCAATTTTAAAACATAAAGACCATCAAGAGTATTTGTTGCTAAGGTTGTAAAAGTGCTCACAAAAAAACAGTCACAGGCAATTGAATAGATAGAAAAACTGTTGTTGATTGATTGAATAAACGAAAAACAGCCAGTGTTAGCATTTTGGAGGCAGTGATACATTAAAAATTCATTTAAGGCTAGTAGGGATGGTTCAATAAATTTAAGAAGTGTTTATAGATTAAACAGTACATTAGACCTTGTATTGTATATAAGAAAGGTTAAATAAAATTGAATCATCTTTAGGGGTCTAGAACGGATTAATTCAGTTTACATTATTTCTAATGGGAAAAAATGAATCAGTCTTCAAACAAATCGCTTGTCGAACATTTATGCAAATTAAGTTCAAGAAACGATGTTCCACTATACTTAAATTTTAATTAAATGGAAAAACGGTGATGATAATACAGTTTTTCTGTTAGGTACTAGTGATTTAAAAGAGAAAAATTCTGAGGCTTAGAGTTTAAATTATTTTTTTAGAGTCAAAGATAAGCAGAGAGAGCCCAGATTTAATGTCTTATTCTAGAACTCCATTTATTATTTATATCATAATATCCTTTCAGAGAACAGCAAGAAGTGAGAGCTGACAACCTTTAATGGAGCCAGAAATGCCCTTTAAAAAAAAAGTAGTTAGAAACTTTAAAAAGAGAGAGTTATTTTATGAAGGATGCTTTTCCCTTGAGTAAAAAAAACATAGCTGGCTTAAAAGGTAGGATGAACTCCAGGATTCCTTCATGTCATCAACAATTCAAGTTTCTTTGATCTCTCTCCTGCTGTCCTTGGATTGTCCACTTTATGTTTAGACTGTGACAAAACAGTGCCAGCATCAAATTGAGTAACATGTGTACTTGGCTAACAACCAATGGGACAAAAGAGGGCTCTCTTCTATAAGCATGGACTATAAATTTGTCCCTTCAGTCTGCTTGCTTCTGAACCAATAATAGTGACCAGAGGGATGCCATACACTAATTCTATTAGACTGTTCCCGTGGGGAGTTATGGACCTCAAAAAGTCAATTACAGTCTAATTCCAGCCCTCTAACTCTAAATAATTCAGTAACAGATGGCCATGATGGTATTTATCAGTCATCAGCAAAAATTTTAATTACCTTCAGGATTATATGTTTGGGAAAAATAGTAATCCAAAATGATTAAAGTAAATATTGATAACTTTAAGACATAATTTAGTGACCTAAAGCAGTTTATATATGTGAAGTAAATTGTTCATGGACATTAATTTATTAATAAATATGGAGTGTCTGTATGCCAGTTATAGAGAGTTGTAAGTGAGAGAAACAAGGTTTCTGCCCTAAAAGGTTGGACAGTAATTATATAAACAACTATTCAGTGTGATTAACAGTTCTTAAATGCTATGAACTAACCAGAACATTGGTGAAGGCCTTTTATTTTTTATTGATTTTTTAAATATATTTTATTGATTTTTTACAGAGAGGAAGAGAGAGGGATAGAGAGTTAGAAACATCGATGAGAGAGAATCATCCATCAGCTGCCTCTTGCACACCCCACACTGGGGATGTGCCCACAACCAAGGTACATGCCCTTGACCGGAATCGAACCCGGGACCTTTCAGTCCGCAGGCTGATGCTCTATCCACTGAGCCAAAACGGTTTCGGCTGGTGAAGGCCTTTTAGATGATCAAGGAGTGGTATCTTGAGAAAAAATTATTTGAGCTGAGGTTTTATTATTGAGAATGATCTAAACCTATGCAGAACTGGGAAAAGAGTTTCTGCAAAGTTTAGGAGGTACACATGGATTTGGCAGTTTTTGAAGAGTAGTAAGGAGGCCCATATGAGCAGGATAGAATTGTAAGATTTGGGATTAAAGCGTCAGGATTACTCAGGACCTTGTAGACTGGTAAGAAGTTTGGGTTTTATTTGAAGCCAGAAAGAAACTATTGAAGACATTTCAGTTAAGGATTATCATGATTGAGTTGCCTTTTGAAAGAAATTCATTCTGGAAGCTGATACACTAGGAGTTAGGAGGCTGCTACTCTCAATAGTACCAGAAGTGCCAGTGAGAAGGAACAAGGGCTTGGGTTAGGGTGGCAGCAGTAGAAATAGAGAAGAAAGTAGATATTTTAGAGGTAGAACCACTTGTCTTGAGTACCTGGTTGGTTAGTAGTGTCATTTGCTTAGGTAGGGAAAATTCAGGTAGCAGGTTAGAGGAGAAAAATCATTACCTTTGTTTTTGTAACTAGTAAGTTTTAAATGCTTGTTAGACATTAGGTAGACACATAAATGTAAAAAAGGTAGTATTATATGATTGGAAGCCAGATAAATGAAATATCTGTTTTACTTCATTTTGTTTGCAAATAATAGTTTGGCTGTTGAAGTATGCTAATCTCTTTAGCATCTGCACACAATGCCATATAAGACATAGTTATTTTTTGAAATTTATAAGTCATATCAGCCATATAATTTAATTGCTAAGAAAAACATGTCATTTTTATATTTGAATGTTAAGCATAATCATCTTATTAAACCTTACTTATTACTGTTAATGATTAGTTTTAAGGATCGAAATGTTCACTCATTGTTTATAAGAAATTTAGACAATGAATGCCTTGTAGTTTGATGCTTTTTCTGCCAAAGAAGTGATTTGAACTTTGTCTTTCAAGCTAGAGAATCAAAATTAAATTTGTGTCTCTGGGTTTGAATTTTAAAATTTGTAGAGTATAATACTTCCATAGAAGGCCTTAAGGGAGTATCTTATTAATTTGAACATGCCAGTTTCCCAATTTTCAACTTTAAAAATAGATTCTGAAGACCAGGAAAAAAACACACACACAAAAAAAAACTATGCTTTAGCCTTTTTGTGGCAATGATTTTTAATTTCTCTTCTGTTAATTTATCTACATAATTTACCTTGGTCTTTTTTCCTCCAATAGGTGGTGTTACTATATTTGTGGCCTTATATGATTATGAAGCTAGAACTACAGAAGACCTTTCATTTAAGAAGGGTGAAAGATTTCAGATAATTAACAATACGTAAGTGTTACGAATGAGAAATACTGACAATCATTGAGTCTTTACTTTGAAACTACTGGTGAGCTAGTTAATGATTCCGAGATGAGAGTGGTGGGGTGTGGACCTCTGCCCATTTGGTTGGACAATGCATTTGTTTTCTTTAGACACGTGGCAGAATACTACTGAGGTAGCCAGAAGTTATTACTTCTACAAATTGTGCTGCTGTGGTTCTGCCATAAAGAGTAGAGATTTAAGAATGAAGAGTGAGGGGGTATATATAAGTAAGTACATTACTTTAAAAAAATCTTTATAAAGAGAATTCTATATTCCTACTAGTATTTATCTAAGTACTAGATGATTTAAATATATTATCTGTTTCCCCTTACAAAAAAAAAAAAGAAAGAAGGAAAAAGGTCAGGTAAGGAACCTCTGTAATCCCAACTGACCGAATTAAGTGGCTTTTTCCTTAAGTGACTCTTAGACTTTTTATCATTTAATGGCCCACCATAGGAAATCCATTGCTAGTTATGGAAAATAGATTCCATAATTTTATTAGCAAGCATAGCAGCCACTTTGTAACTTCTTAAAATATTTATTTATGGTCTTTTTGCTTCCAGTCATGTTTTCTTCCATCCTTATTCTCATTTGCTACCAGTTATTATTCCAGAACATAAAATATGTTCATGTCTCTCTGCTTTAAAATATTTTAATAGTTACCAATTGCCACCAGGATAAAAGAAAAATAACAATAATATTAGGCATTATTCATTGAGCTTCTTCCCCTTTCTCACTGCACTGCCTAGCCATGTTGAATTACTTGCAATTATCTGAATAGACTGTGGCTTCTTACCTTCTCCAGGCCTTCACATTTATGATTTCCCCCCCAGGAATGTGATTTCTCCATTCCCTGCCTCCCTTCTTTATCTGACCAACCCAACTCATCCTTCAAAATGTTTATTCCTATGTCCTTTCTCAAGTAAGCCTGTCCTGACATTCTTCCTCTCCTGCCTGGCCTAGTACCTACCTCCTGCTGGATCAAGTGTCTTTCTTAAATGTTTACAGAGCATCCTATTGCAAACCTAACTCATAGCTGCCATTGCAATTTGGAATTATAACTTATCACTTGCTTATTATTCTTTTAGGCCAGTGGTTGTCAAACTGTGGCAGAATCATCCGGGCACACTTGGCAATATCTGGAAACATTTTTGGTTGTTACAGTCAGTTTGTTACTGCTGTCATCTAGTGAGTAGAGGCCAGGGATATTGCTCAGCATCCTAGGATCCTACAATGCATGGGACAGGCCCCCACAACAAAGAGTGGTCTAGCCTAAAAAGTCAGTAGTGCTGAGGTTGAAAAATTCTACTCTAGACTGAGTTTCTGGAGGTTAAGGACTATCTTTTTACTCTTGTTTTCAGCATACTCTTTCATAAAGTCTGTCACGTAAGAAGGTATTCAATAAATGTTTGAATGAATCAGTGAATGGTTAACAGGAAACTACAAACCAAGTATATGAATTTATAAGTATTTGAATTACCAAAGGATTTTCCACTTTGTTTTCTAGAAAGTAAATGTACCTCAAGTATTTACAGAATTTCAGTTTAAATAAAATACTTTCAGTATTTCTCTCCGTTAAAGCAAAAATGCATTTAATTTTTAATAGTGGAACCCATTTTTCTATTTTGCTCATTAGAGACTGATAATATTTGCTTCTTCCACAGTAATTTTAGAAAAGTCAAGGCTTGGGTTTTTCAAATTACATATAGTTCTTGTGTTGTGAATTGTTTATAGCCTTACTTGCATATTTATGGGTAATATTTTTGTATATATTCTAAGAATTAAAATTTTTGTTGTTATTGCCCATTAAGATTTTGGCTACAGGAATTGTAGAGTGTCCTGATTTTTTCCCCCTAAAATGACTTAAAAAAAAATCGTAATTTTATGCACTGTTAAAAAGAAATAAAAAAGAATGAGCTGCTGACACATGCCATAACATAGATAAATCTTGTAAAGATTATTCTACGTGAAAAAGACAGTCAAAAAGATCATATATTGTATGATTGCATATATATGAAATGCCCACAATAGGTACATCCATAAAAACCGAAGGTGGATTAGTGATTGGCATTGGTGGGGGTGGGACAAAAGAGGGATGGAAGGATGACTCTTAATGGATATGGGATTTCTTTTTGTGGTAATGGAAATATTCTAAGATTGATTGTGGTATAGTTGTACAACTCTAAGTATGTTAAAACCCACTAAATTGTACAACTCAAATGGGGGAATTTTATAGAACATGTAATCAAAAACGAATAATTTGAAAGATTGATCTTCCAAATTGTCTTATCAGTATAGTTTATAGTCTTAGGTTGAAAGAGTAATGTAAAAAGGTGACCTTTTAACTAAAAGTGTAATTTTTTTTTGTTTTTGTTTGAAGCACAAATGTAATTGTGCTTTTGCTCAGCTTTGTTCCCTTAATTCATATAACCTATTTTTAAATATTATCCTTTGAGTTGATCTTGATCACATGAATGCATAATTTAAAAAATGTACCTTCAGCTACAAGACAACACTGTAATACATCTATCTCAAGCAGTAGTCTACCTTGTGGTAACTGTTATTTTATGTGTTGCAGGGAAGGAGACTGGTGGGAAGCAAGATCAATTGCTACAGGAAAGAATGGCTATATTCCTAGCAATTATGTAGCCCCTGCCGATTCCATTCAAGCAGAAGAGTATGACACTACTTCATATTTTATTAATTGTTTTGATTTTTAAAATGTTTTAATGCACATTCTTCTTATCCACAACTTTACACACACACAATTACATATCAGTCTTAATACAGCTAATGTAACATATTAATAGGAAATGTTACTTAAAAATTAATAATTAATGCCATAACACTTGCTTAGAGTAGGATTATAAATGAATCTGCATTAATACTGTATTATTATGCCTTTATCTTTTCACTTAAAATTTTATTAACCTTTTTTGTATTCTGAGCATTTTCTCCAAAAATTTACCTCAGCTTGTACTGGTATATCAGTGTTAATTTATTGACATAGGTGCTTGCTCCTATGTAGGAGAGAATCCTTGTCTTTTAGAAGTATACCCTGAAGGATTTAGGGTAATGATTCAGCATGTTTGCCACTTACTCTCAATAAGTTCAGGAGAGGGGAAATGCACACATAGGGAAAGAGAAATGTACAAGGCATAATGTCAAATTTGAGAAGCCTGCTAGAAGATATCTAGAAGTTCTGTCTACTATTTTTAAAAAGTTCACCTTCAATGACATCACTTTTAGGTCAAACCAAGTTTATCTTGCATCCATAAATGCTACTTCATTTTAATAGTTACCAGTTGCCACCAGGATAAAAGAAAAATAACAATAATATTAGGCATTATTCATTGAGCTTCTTCCCCTTTCTCACTGCACTGCCTAGCCATTAACACAGTAGGTATTGCACATAGTAGGTATTCTTGCCAGTGCTTTTATTAATGCTATGCAATTTGTCTCCATAACTGCCCTGCTTTGACAGTTATTACATTGTTTTGTTCTTTTGTCTTTTTCTCCACTATTCTGAAATCATTCATGGCAGAGACTGTAATGTCTACACTAATTTAGAGTTCCTAATTTTGATATGGTTTACTTGCACGTTACTGAATACAGACATTATTGCCAGAAAACTACTTTTATTCTTCCTATTATGGTCTTAGTATTTCCATCTGTCACTGATTGAAGGCTCTGTCTGCCATTATGGTCTTTCCTTCTCTATTTACTGTTTCTGTGACTCATGTGGAGTTTAAGAGATATGGTAAATAGTCAATGCATGGAAATACTATGACAGAGTATATTCTGACAGTAATATTTGTAATAGAGCTATATAATAATAAATGTTTTTATTATATTTTACTATATTTTCAAGCTGTGTTCTGTAGCTGTTTCTTTCATCCACCCTATCTTATTCCATTCTTATTAATACTTATGTATAATTTTTCTTACCCTTAACACCTTTCTAACTCAGAACATTATTTTTTTCCAGATGGTATTTTGGCAAAATGGGGAGAAAAGATGCTGAAAGATTACTTCTGAATCCTGGAAATCAACGAGGTATTTTCTTAGTAAGAGAAAGTGAAACTACTAAAGGTATGAATATTGTTATGTTGATATAAGTATAAAAATCTTAGGCTGTATTTTGAGAAAGATATAGCAAAAGGTTTCATTTCTTCATGCCCCATCAGGTGCTTATTCCCTTTCTATTCGTGATTGGGATGAAGTAAAGGGTGACAATGTGAAACACTACAAAATTAGGAAACTTGACAATGGTGGATACTATATCACAACTAGAGCACAATTTGAAACTCTGCAGAAATTGGTTAAACACTACACAGGTATGTAATATTTCAAAGGTGTAAATTATTTCTTGTTGTATTTTATGAGGACAGAATCCGTATCTTCACGTTCTTAAGGTTTAGCATGTTCCTTTACACATAATATGTGTTCACTGGATGTCTTTTGTTTTCTAATTTTAAAATGAGGAACAGATAATTGGGTTACCTGAATTGGGTTCTTGGATGATGTGCTAAAATCTGATTATCATCATTTGAGTCTTTTTATTTTACTGGTATAGTTCCATTCGAGTTCCATTTCATGACAGCTAAATATGAAGATAGATTTTGACAATAAATAAAAAGGCAAAGACAAATATTTTATTTAGGAACACTTATTAAGAAGGTAAAGCAGCCCTGGCCGCTGTGGCTCAGTTGGTTGCGTGTTATCTCATGCACGAGAGGTCGCTGGTTCGATTCCTGGTCAGAGCACATGCCAGAAGGGGGCACGAGGGAAGTAGTTGATGGGTCCATCTTCTCTATTCCACTCTCTAAAACCAATAAAATCATTAAAAAAAAAAAAAAGAAGAAGAAGAAGAAGAAGAAGGTAAGCTAAAAACTTAAAATAAAAAGTGGTATCAGATATCCTTTTAGTTTACCTTCTTCTGCATGAGATGGACTACATGAGACTTCCTGAAAGTATAAACACAGTGAAGATGCTTTTTCTTTTCCTGAAAAATTAACCTATATCATTCTTTAGTTTTTCAAGGACCTTTGAAAGGTATTTAATATGAGTATATCAAAAATTTTCATTGTCAATTTGATACTTTAATGCATCTGAAAGTCTTTAAGTGATTAATGCTAGGGGAGGGGAAGTTCCAATGGCAATTTCTTCTTCAGTAACAGATGCAGACTGAGTTTAACAAGTCATCCTTCAGTGTTGACATTGGTCAAACATGTTGCCAAACAGTGGCATCGTTGTAATTGCAAGTGTTAGTCTGTCTGTTTGCATGGTTACTTGTTGAGAATGGGAAGGATCATGTCCTATTTACAATAAGAAAGATTGCATAAACAGGATTCACAAGTCAAGCCATCATGAATTTGGGACTCCCTGTTTTTGTGTCTCCCATATTTAAAAATTAGTTTCCCAAAAGAAGCTTTCCCTTGATTTTTGGTGTGCTTTTTATATTAGTGGCTTTTAGAAATAACAGTTAATGGTAGCATTCTTTTTGGAAATAAATAAGGAAGAGTAGTCAAAAGTAGAACTTTGGAGGCAGCCAGACCCTGAATTTGAATCCTATCTCCATCATTTACTTATTAGATTACATTGAGAGTGTTGATGAATTTTCCAAGGCTCATTTATATGAGATATCTGAAAGTTGCTGAATTAGCACAATAACTGGGACATAAGTATTCAATACATAATTTTTTAAATGTAATTAATAAAATGTTTCATTTCTTGTGTGTTTTGCTTTTTATGTACAATTCCTTTTTTGTGTTTTTTATTTAAAAAACTGATAGGACGTTGTATTTTTTGTTTTCTATAATTTCTACTTTTTAAAACATTGATATACTACATGTAACTAATTTTTTTAAGTAATTCATTTTACAATATAGCTTATTCATTTATCTAGAACATGCTGATGGCTTATGCCATAAGTTAACAACTGTATGTCCAACTGTGAAACCCCAGACTCAAGGTCTAGCAAAAGATGCTTGGGAAATCCCTCGAGAATCTTTGCGACTAGAAGTTAAACTAGGACAAGGATGTTTTGGTGAAGTATGGATGGGTAAGAAGCCTGAACTTTTGTGTGTGTTTTTTGTAATTGTTTTGCCATAGATAAAAATGCCACAATTTATAAGATATGTTGAAATATTTTAAGTCCCTGTTGCTCATTGAAGTTTGCTAAGAATTTCTTTCAAATATAGATCAAAATAGTAAAAGTGTTGTTTCTCTAGGAACATGGAATGGAACCACAAAAGTAGCAATCAAAACACTAAAACCAGGTACAATGATGCCAGAAGCTTTTCTTCAAGAGGCTCAGATAATGAAAAAATTAAGACATGATAAACTTGTTCCACTATATGCTGTTGTTTCTGAAGAGCCAATTTATATTGTCACTGAATTTATGTCAAAAGGTATGTGTACATAAGTCTCTTATTATCCGTGTTAATACATTTTTAGAAACAAGTCTTTAATTTTTTATCCATACAAATTTTTATTGTTTAGTGTTTTTTTTAAATGGAAGGGATATTTGCACTTTATTTTTTTAATATATTTTATTGATTTTGTACAGAGAGGAAGGGAGAGAGATAGTCAGAAACATCGATGAAAGAGAGTCATCGATCAGCTGCCTCTTGCATACCCCCTACTGGGGATATGCCCACAACCAAGGTACATGCCCTTCACCGGAATTGAACTCTGGACCTTTCCGTCCCCGACGCTCTATCCATTGAGCCAAACCAGTTTCGGCTGTTTAGTGTTTTCTAATTTGAGATTTTTATGTAGACATTTGAAAAGAAAAAAATCTGATATTTTGTTATTCCAAAGGATAGTTCAGAGTTTAAAAGGAAAATAAGTAGGCTGAATTTATTTTGAAAGTAAATAGTTCTTAATTTCATGTGACCAAAGGAAATGGAATAGCTAGGAAAGTGAAAAAGAAAGTATTAGTAAAAAATCAGAAAGATATTTATATCTTTGATACTAAATCAAAGAAATTAATTTTTATTTCATTTTAATATAAGCATAACCTTCATACTCAGGCATCAGGAAACATTCTTTTTTCAGTACTGTCAGGTGAAATGTCTCCATTTTCCCAAACCCCAAGATGGGATCTCTAGTTCCAGGGTTGGTTAGGGCCAGGATTAAAAACAAGGGAAAATTGTTGCTCTTCCCTCCTTTTCCCTTTGCCTAATGTGCTTTGGAAGAAAAGCCAGTCATAAAATATGCTGATAGGCTCCCTTTTTACCTTCTTGAATTTTATCTACATTTTTAAACTCTTTAATGAGTCATTCATATTAATACTGATTATTATGTCATCCCTCTCCAATAGTTCATCTTGACCAACAATGTGGTTCCATCTAGTGGTGACAGGGTCAACTACAGGCTACACAGTTGCTATAGGAAATGTTTCCCCCTAAAAGGGATAGAAACAAAAGGTTAAAATAACTGACATTGCCTACTTATTGATAGCCAAAACATAGCTAAAGCCCCAAAGCATATGGCACTTTTTGGAAGGAAGCTCTCCTGCAAACCACTGCCAAATACCTCATTTTAGAGTGCATTAGATGAACTAGAAAGGGAAGAAAAGACAACAAAAAGGAGGGTTTAAATCAAGATATTGATAGTTTAAGAATATTGTTAAAGCTAATGGTCCATTAGCTTTGCGTATTGATTTCAAGAATTATTTTATTGGGGGAAGCATGGTAGAAGTCTTGTTGTCAGGTTGCTGGGTTAGGATTATTTCTACTGGGAAATTTAAAATGTAAGTTTTGGCTCAGTGGTAGAGCATCGGTCTGCGGACTGAAAGGTCCCAGGTTTGATTCCGGTCAAGGGCATGTACGTTGGTTGTGGGCACATCCCCAGTAGGGGGTGTGCAAGAGGCAGCTGGTCAATGTTTCTCTCTCATTGATGTTTCTAGCTCTCTCTCTCTCCCTCTCTGTAAAAAAATCAATAAAATATATTAATAAAATAAAATGTAAGGTCACAAATACCCCTTCTATTTTTTAAAATTCTGTAATTCCCCATCTTGCAATTGGCCCTCTATAATCCATCCAAACACATTGCCTCAAGTGCTTTCACATAAATCCACTTTTCTGGCCAGAAGGGTCTTGTTGCTTCTTGTTTCCAGGAGTTTGTTCATGTTCTTTCACCTGGAATTTGGTTTCCTTATCTCTTGACCATTCCATAGATTACATTTGGAGAGAAAAAAACCTAGATTTTTTTTTTTTTTTTTATTTTTTTTTTTTTTTAAAATATATTTTATTGATTTTGTACAGAGAGGAAGGGAGAGAGATAGAGAGTCAGAAACGTTGATGAGAGAGAGTCATCGATCAGCTGCCTCTTGCACACCCCCTACTGGGGATATGCCCGCAACCAAGGTACATGCCCTTGACCGGAATCGAACCCGGGACCCCTCAGTCCCCAAGCCGACGCTCTATCCATTGAGCCAAACCGGTCCCGGCAAAACCTAGATTTTTGAAGAGTTAATTTTCAGCATAAAAGTAACAGTTTACTATAAACAAATGAAGCTACAGGCCAATGCATAATAAATTTCAGTAAGTATAATATAATAGAAATTGAAGAAGAGATTACACAGGCTGGAATAAATTGAGAAAAATTAGTAGAAAAGACAAGTCCTGACTTGCCTTTATGATTATGAAGGATATGGATGTGTAAAGAACAGAGCTAAGAGGATTGAGGAAATGAGAAATAGCTAGTGAAAAGTACAGAAGTAGAAGACACTAGTTGGAAATAAGCCTAGAGAGGGGTATATGAGACAAGCTTAAGAATTGCTTTCAATTTATTTCACTGTTATTTATTGAATCCTTACTGTCAGTTGTGAATGAGCTTTCGAGTCCATGAACTTTTTCTGAAGTTATTATGTGTCAATTTTTGCATAACTTACGTACGTTTTCTGGAAAGAGTTCATAGATTTCATCAGATTCTCAAAATAACGTATGGGGCAGAAAAAGTTATGGACCACTAATAAGATCCAAAACATTCTATGATAAATGGATATAAGAAACATTTTAAGGGGATTGGGTATTTTTTTGATTGGTTAAAGATCAGAGAACAAGAATTGTCACACTGATACAAATTCCAATCCCAGATTTCTATGCTCTGCAGCTTTTGCACAAAATATTTTAGCACTTATCTATTGTTACACTGAATGATGTCCTACTTAGTGTATTGATCTTTTGCCTTTTTTCTATACACTTGATTCTGACTCTTTTTTTTCTTTTCTTTTTTTTTAATATATTTTATTGATTTTGTACAGAGAGGAAGAGAGAGAGATAGTTAGAAACATCGATGAGAGAGAGTCATCGATCAGCTGCCTCTTGCACACCCCCTACTGGGGATATGCCCACAACCAAGGTACATGCCCTTGACCGGAATCGAACCCGGGTTCCTTCAGTCCCCAAGCTTACGCTCTATCTATTGAGCCAAACCGGTTTCTGCTGATTCTGACTCTTTTCTTTTACAGCTTCATTCTCATCTTTGGGCTCTGTGTTTTTGCATAGGAACTGTTTTTAGTTCCCTGAATCTACTGTCCTGTTTTATGCATTACAGACTTTGTACCTGTTAATTCCCTCTTGGAATTCCCTGTTTGCCCCCATTCTTCCTTTGAGATGCATCTTCTCTTGTGAAGCCTTTTCTAACTTGTCTGTAGAATTAATTTATCTACTGTGCCTCTACTGTAGTAGTTACAATAACTTGTATAACTCCTATATAATATTTATTTGTTTGCATATAATTTATAGATCTATATACTAGATCAATATCTTTTCAAGGGCAGAGACCATGACTTACTTATCAGTATATCCTTTATACCCCTTTACAGTGCCTCACATGTAGTGGCCCCTTGGTAAATAATTTGAAAGGGCTTTCTTTGTCTTGTTTTATTTTACTTTCCTTTTGAAATACTTTTAAACTTATGGAAAAGTTGCAGAAATAATATAAAGAATTCCTGTATATATTTCAGCCAGATTTGTCAATTGTTAACTAGATATATCATCAATATATAAAATAAAGGGTTTTCCTCTGAACTATTTGAGAGTACATTGCAGACATTATGTTTCCTTTATTTCTAAATATGTCCGTGTTTTTCTCTTACAAACAAGAACATTGTCTTATATAACTACAGTATAATGATAAAGTTCAGGAACTATAACATGGATATAATTCTATTATCTAATACTAGTCTATTTTAAGATTTCACCAGTCATCCAAGTGATATCCTTAATTACAGCAATTTTTCCCTGATCCATTGTCTAATCCATAGTCACCAATTTCTTTTAGTTGTACTTTTTCTTTGGTTTTTAATCTGGAGAGTACCTCATCAAGTCTTTCATAACATTGTTATTTTTTAAGAGAATGGTACCATCTACCTAATAAAAGAGTAACGTGCTAATTGATAGTACCTTCATGACGCCCAGCAGCCAATCTGGAGTGAATATGCAAATTAACCCAACAAAGATGCTGGGTTAGTTTGCATAGGCAGGTGCCCAGCGGCTGGGAGGGTCACTTGCATCGTTGCCATGATGACAATGCAGACATTCCACACCACCCTGGCGGCTCTGGCCAGGGCAAAGGCAGTGCCATCTGCCAGGAGAAGGAAGGCCCATTCTCACATGAATCTTCATTCATCGGGCCTCTAGTCTATATATATAAAAAATAGAGAAATGTGCTAAATAACCAGTACGCTGTAATGGGTCTACCGGATAGGAGGAGGTTGCACGTGTAGCTTTAGGGATGGGGTGGCGGGGCCTCTGTGGCACCTGCACTGTGGGTGCCCTGATCAGTAGCGGCCACGGCTGCTTCAAGGGCCCAGAGAGCAAGGCAGGGCCAGAACAGCAACTCAAGAGTGGGCGGCACTGTGCAATTTCGAATCGCGCGTTGGGCTCCTAGTTCTTTTATAAAATGTGTCTTAATTTAGGTCTCTGTGATATTTTCTCCTGATTAAATTGAGGTACATGGTCTATTTGAAACCAGTAATAGAGGAATAGCAGCTAGACTTTTCATTTCTAGCCTTTTTCTCTGCTGTTATTCATAATACTTTGCTGTTCCGTATCTTCTGCTGAAATTGAAAGAGGTTAGTTGGACTAACAATTCCATATCAACTGAGCCACCTAGATGTAGTTTAAGTACCCCAAGATATTCCCAGTTGTTTTGAGTTCTTAATTCTGACTGACTTAAAAATATGTAAGTATCTATACTACTTTTTGAATCAAAATTTGAACTGTTGATCTTGATCAAAGCAAGGAGGGAATGCCTATAATCTGGTGAGATTATCTCATTTTTCTTGTTTCTTATGTTATCAAGAAAATTATATAGCCCTAGCTGGTTTGGCTCAGTGATAGAGCGTCAGTCTGCAGACTGAAAGGTCCCAGGTTCGATTCTGGTCAAGGGCATGTACCTTGGTTGTGGGCACATCCCCAGTAGGTGTGCAGGAGGCAACTGGTCGATGTCTCTCTCTCATCGATGTTTCTAACTCTATCTCTTTTCCTTCTTCTCTGTAAAAAATCAATAAAATATATTTTAAAAAGAAAATTATGTAAAATTTCAGTTTAAGGCCTCTAGAGTCTTAAAGATAGTTATTCAGAAATTCCAAGCTACAAAAAATACTGAAGACTGAAAAACTGAAGTTTTTGTATTGCGATGTGATTTATTTGCTTATTTTCCATGAATGTCTTTCTGTCTCTTACAGGGAGCTTATTAGATTTTCTGAAGGAGGGAGATGGAAAATATTTGAAGCTCCCACAATTGGTTGATATGGCTGCTCAGGTACTTGTATATTATACCTGTATCATCCATTTGAATCAAAAGTGTGCATTAAACATGTAAAATAATTTTAATAGAATGCTATTGTTTATATAATGAAATCATGAAATATAAGGACTGGAAGAGATATTAGAGTTAATCCAGTCTTACCTCCTTGTTAACAGATAATGTAATTATTGATAATGTTGTATCTGAAGACCAGAGCTATTTAAAATTCAGGTAGTATTAGTATTGGAACCAAGTATGTAACTACCATACTCTTCTGTCCTGAATCATATGGCCTTTCAGAAACGTAATGCATCCACAAATATAAAATCTATATAGTATATATTTTTAATCCTCATCCAAGGATGTGTTTTTTGTTTGTTTGCTTGTTTTTAATGATTTTTAGAGAAACAGTGAGAAGGAAACATCATTGAGAGAGAAACATGTATCAGTTACCTCCCATACATGCCCCAACCAGGGATGGAACACACAACCTGGGTATGTGCCCTGACCAGGCAGGAGTCGAACACACAGTCTTTTGGTATAAGGGATGATGCTCCAACCAAATGAGCCACTTGGCCAGGGCTGTATGTATTTATATTTTAACATAAATTTTTAGACAGTGAATGATGGCTGTTCCTAAGGAAAGAGTATTTTTGGAAATCTCAAGTATCTGATGAAGTTTAGAGAAACTTTATACTAAGAAACTGTCTTGTGAAACATTAGCATGTGTCACACCTAGTCCACACCTCTGAGTTCAAGGCTCTTGGACATTCTACAGTAGAGGTTGGCAAACTGTCTTTGTGAAGAACCAGATAAATGTTTTAGGCTTTGTGGGCCACATACATCTCTGTTGTTTCTCCTTCCCTTCCTCCTCTTTCCCTCCTTTCCTACCTACCTCCCATTCTCCTTCCCTATCTTCCTCCTTCTCAATTATAGTATTTTCTATTTTTTCCGATTATCTGCAAGATTATGCCCTGTTATCTTCTTTCTAGATATATGACTTTTCAGTGATCTAACTTAATAGTAACCAAAATTGTTTTATCCCTCCTTTCCTTTGTATTATGTGTCTTTTTATTTTTCTCTTTCCAAGATTGCTGATGGTATGGCATATATTGAAAGAATGAACTATATTCACCGAGATCTTCGGGCTGCTAATATTCTTGTAGGAGAAAATCTTGTGTGCAAAATAGCAGATTTTGGTTTAGCAAGGTTAATTGAAGACAATGAATATACAGCAAGACAAGGTAAAATTATCATTATTTTGTTTGTTAATCCTCACCTAAGGATTTTTTTTTTTTTCATTGATTTATTTTAGAGAGAGTGGAAGGGGGAGGGAAGGGGAAAAAAGAGAGAGGGAGAGAGAGAGAGAAACACTGATGTGAGAAAGACACATTGATTGGTTGCCTCCCACACAATTCCTGGCCAGGGCTGGAAATTGAACCTGCAATGCAGGTTTGTGCCTTTGACAGAATTGAGCCTGAGACCCTTCAGTGCATGGGCTGATGCTCTAACCACTGAGCCACTAGCCAGGGCAGTTGTCCCCTTTCGAATGAAACATTTTGTGATTGTGCTAGTGAAAATTGATCTACTGTTTGGACATCAAAATAACTATTTTATAACACTATATACATATATATAGAAATCACCTGAAGTATGTAAAATACCTATAGTTGCCCTATCCTATATAATGAGATAATATGCAAATTGACCATCATTCCAACCCACAAGATGGCCAGCAGGGGAGGGCAGTTGTCAGCCATCAGACCAGCAGGGGAGGGCAAGTAGGGGCAACCAGTCCTGCAGGGGAGGGCAGTTAGGCATCAATCAGGCTAGCAGGAGAGTGGTTAGGGGGTGATCAGGCTGGCAGGCAGAGTGTTTAGGAGAAATCAAGCAGGAAGGCAGGCAGGCAAGTGGTTGGGAGCCAGCAGTCCTGGATTGTGAGAGGGATCCCAGATTGGAGAGGGTGCACGCTGGGCTGAGGTACACATTCTAACCCCCCAACCCCCGCATGCATGAATTTCGTGCAGCAGGCCTGTGTGTGTGTGTGTGTGTGTGTGTGTGTGTTTATTAATATGTAAATTAGGCCAGGACACCTTAACGGTCACGACCAGCTTAGGAGGAGGGGCCTGGCATTGGCCCAGAGCCTGAGAGAACAACAGGCAGGGGGGCTAGTCCCCAGCCCCAGCCCTGCAGCTGCGACCCTGGGCTGCTGGGGCTGGAGTAGAGACACAAACCTACAGGGGTGTCGGGTTCAATTCTGATCAAGGTTGCAGGCTCCTCCCTGGCCAGGCCTAGGTCAGGGCGCATGCAAGAGGCAACCAATTCAAGTTCTCTGTCTTTCCCTCTCTCTTCCACACTTTCTTAAAAATCAAATGGGAAAATATCCTCAGGTGAGGATAAAAAAAGAAAGAGATGTCATATCCTATGAAAGAGACATCTTGAGAATGCCTAAAGAAAGTTGTCATTTTCATGGTGAAGGGACTGGAGTTCGTGTTGATGAAAACACCTTGGCAGCTGCGGCGGCCGACAATAGCAGCAGCAGCAGCAGCAGCAGCAGCAGGGTGATGGGGTTGATGCCTTCCCCTGATCAGCCCAGTTGCCTTCCACAGAGGGAGACTAAACCTTGGCTTAGGTTCGCTCCCCATCAGTAGGACATCCCCTAAGGGCTCCTGAACTGAGAGACACCCCCTCCCCCAGCACGAATTTCATGCACTGGGCCTCTATATCTATAGATATAGATATAGATAAAGATATAGATATATGCTTAAGTGACTGCAACAACTATGATGCGCAGTGACCACCAGGGGACAGATGCTCAATGCAGGAGCTGCTGCCTGATGGTCAGAGCACTCCCACAGCCAACCTCTCCTGGCTGGCCAAACTCTTATAGTCCTTTCCCCAGCCGCCAGTGGCCAGTGGCCAGTGGCCAAGCTCCTGTGTCCCCTCCTCTCCCCCACCTCCCACCATTCTTCCACTCGGCCACAGGCCTTAATCAACCCTGATTGCTGACCAGTCTAGGAACCCTACCCATGCACGAATTTCATGCACTAGTAAGTATATAAGCTACATGAAGGTTATGCTTTTCTCTCTCATGACAACTACTAGAAAATCTTATGCATAAAAAGATAGGCTTTTTGTGCATAAAAAGATAGGCTTTTTATGCATAAGATAGACTTTTTATGCAATAAATATATAGACTTTTAAAAATTATAGTACAATAAAATTTTCCAGAGAGATTTCATAAAATGAAAAAGAGATTATGTTAAAAAACAACAACAACAACAAAACAGTAGACATTAGAACCCAACAGAATACACCTTCTTCAACCAATGATGAGCTATAGATGTTAGGTGATATACATACTTAAAAGTTACCAGTCCTAAAATACACGTGTGTTTTTTTAAATTTTTTGTTTGTTTTTCATGTTCACCCGAGGCTATGTTTTTATTGATTCCAGAGAGAGAGAGAAAAACATCAGTCAGCTGCCTCCCATATGCACCCTGATAGAGGATCGATCCAGAAACCTGGATATGTGCCCTGCCTGGGAATCAAACTCATGACCTTTCAGTGTATGGGATGATGCTCCAACCAACTGAGCCACAATGGCCAGGGCTATAACACACATTTTGTTGTTGTTTTTTAAAATTTGTCTTCATTATTCAAAGTATTTTTTCCTCTATTGACACCCTCCACCCCATTTCCACCCTGGGTTATACATATATGTCCGTGGATTATGCATATCTTACTAATAAAAGCCTAGTTGGCCCTCATGCCATCATGCCATGATGCCCTCACGCTGTCACAAGATGGCTGCGTGCACAAGGGGGTAGGTCCCAGCGGCTGCTCCGTACACTTCCACTGAGGCTCCCACAGCCCCGCACCCGCCATGGAGGCAGGACCCCGGCTCCAGCCCACCTCTTCGGGGCTGTGGGAATCGATCACGGGGCTCCCGCACCGTGAGAGGGCACAGGTCAGGCTGGGGGACCTCTTCCCCCAAGTGCATCAATTTTGTGCACGGGGCCTCTAGTATGCATATATGTTCTTTGGTTTATCTTTTTCCCCATCCTTCCCAACCCCCAGTTCCACCCCCGAAATTCATCAGTCTTTTGCATGCTTCAATGTCTTTGATCTATTTTGTTCATCAGTTTATTTTAGATTCCACATTTTAAATATTTTTAAAAATTGTTTCCCATGTATTTTGCACTTTTGAAGAATTTAAAACTGGTGGCATATACAATAAAGATAGTTGACAGAAAGAAAGTTAGCCCTCCTTATGCCATTATTTACACAAATAGATTTTTAAAACAATTTACTTAAGCAAGATGTCAATACTGTTTAGGTGCAAAATTTCCAATCAAATGGACAGCTCCTGAGGCTGCACTATATGGTCGGTTTACAATAAAGTCTGATGTGTGGTCATTTGGAATTCTACAGACAGAACTGGTAACAAAGGGCAGAGTGCCATATCCAGGTAAGCTTGCAATTTATTAGCTTTTGTTTATCCCATTAGTGGGTTAATTGGAGATTGTTAGGAGCAGAATGTAAGGGTGAAGGCCTTTTTTTCTTCTCTCATTGTCTCTTTATTTTTCTCTCCCTCTCTATTTTGGCATTGGATGGATAGCAACCCAAGAGTCACAGTCCTTGAGATAGGGTAAACACATGATGTTTGCCCCCTTTGATTTCAGCTTTCTCTCTTAGGGTATTTTCCAAAAGCGCTATTTATCTCTATTGTTCTCTCAGATGATATATCTTTAATATCCTGCCTCATCTTGCCCTCCCCATCCTCCCTCTTCCAGCCCCTCTCTTACAAGTTGTGATAACAGAATGAGCTGTGGATGAAGGTAGGGAAGTTACAAAGGAATACAAGAAAGGAACTGTGTAATAACTTACAGAAGGTTAAACAGGTCATGTTAAAGAAACTTACAGAAAAGTGACTTTGATATAAATTACATAGTAAGTATCCTTAGCAAAACCAAGACTAAAACGTTTTCTTCTGAATTTCTATCTGAAAGTTCTTTTAAACACTATCCTACTGCTCACTGTTTCTTATTAGCCCACATTTGGTAATTAATAACTATTAATATCAGAACCTCAAAGTACCACCCTGAATTTTCATTAATCAATTGGGATTGCCTTTTGAAGGCTTTAGTATTTAAAGTAAGGTTTACTGTGGAATGAAAAAAACTAATTTATTTCTTTGTTAAAATAATAATTTCACTAAGTAAACTTACTATACTTTGAATCAGTTTGTGGCTAGGGGATTTATTTCATATATATATATATTTTTTTTTTAATTGATTTTGTACAGAGAGGAAGGGAGAGAGATAGTTAGAAACATCGATGAGAGAGAGTCATCAATCAGCTGCCTCTTGCACACCCCCTACTGGGGATATGCCCGCAACCAAGGTACATGCCCTTGACCAGAATCGAACCCGGGACCTTTCAGTCCCCAAGCCGACACTCTATCCATTGAGCCAAACCGGCCTTGGCTAGGGGATTTATTTTATTCACCCCCCTACCCCTGCCCCCAGTTTTATTGAGAAATGACTGGCATACATCACTATATAAACTTAAGACATACAGCATAATGGTTTGATCTACATATATATTATGAAATGATTCCACAATAGGTTTGTTATATGTTAGTGGTGGTTGGCGTCATTTTTTAAAATATATTTTTATTGATTTCAGAGAGGAAGGGAGAGATAGAAACATTAATGATGAGAGAGAATCATCGATTGGCTGCCTCTTGCACACCCCCTACTGGGGATCAAGCCTAAAATCTAGGCACGTGTTCTTGAGTGGAATGAAATCCAGGACCCTTCAGGCTGCAGGCCGACACTATCCAATGAGCAAAACCGGCCAGAGCTTTTTCTTTTCTAATTTATCTTTATTGTTGAAAGTATTAGAGATGTCCCTTTCTTTCCCCCATTGACCCTTTCTAGCCCTACCTTTACCACACTATTGTCTGCGACCATAGATTATGCATATAAATCATCATTGGTTATCTTTTTATTTTTTTAAAAAAAATCTTTATTGAAAGTATTACATATACTCCCCCCCCCCCCCCCCAATTAACTTCTTCCAGCCTGCTTCTGTCCTCCCCTCAACCCCCAGGCCCTCACCATTCCATTATCTGTGTCCATGGGTTATGCGTAAATGCATACAAGTCCATTGGTTGATCTCTTCACACCCCCTGCCTTCCCTCTGAGGTTCAACAGTCCATTCATGCTTCTAAGGCTTCATCGGTTTTTAATGTTTGAATCTTGTGTGCTAGGTATGGTAAACCGTGAAGTGCTGGAACAGGTGGAACGAGGATATAGGATGCCTTGCCCTCAGGGCTGTCCAGAATCTCTACACGATTTAATGAAACTTTGTTGGAAGAAGGACCCTGATGAAAGGCCAACATTTGAATATATTCAGTCCTTCTTGGAGGACTACTTCACTGCTACCGAGCCACAGTACCAGCCAGGAGAAAATTTATAATCCAAGTAGCCTATTTTATATGCACAAACCTGCCAGAATGTAAAAAACTTACATAGACTTCCTAACATACAGGAATCAAAAGGAGAAAACTTTCTTCACTCCGCATGTTTTTAACGGTAAACTGGAATTCCAGATATGGTTGCACAAAACCACTTTTTTGTGTTCCAAATGTTAAACTCTGAAGTACCAGTGATGAATTCTTCAACTTATTTCAGGGTCCAAAGAAAGTATAGCTAAGATAATGATGACAGTGTGAGTGATAGCATGGTAATGAAAAGCAACAAGGCTACTGTTCATAAGTCGCTTCCTTTCTTTTATTCCCCACATTCAGAATTTTTAAGAGAAATTTATCATTATAGATAAAACGTGGGAGATATGAACAGTTATGCCATAAGATCTAAAAATCAAGGAACTTAATGGGACCAAATGATTCCATTCCATTTTTTAAATTCGCTCACATTATTCTCAAACTTTTTTTGTAAGTTGAATTTAATATGCAGTTTTAATATATGCCTCCCTTGCATGGAAATGAGCAAGATTTTTTAGAAACAAAAAGGAATATAAGCAACATCTAAATCTTGGTTAAGTGTTAGGCGACAGCAGTGGGATTTGAAAGTATAGTGCATCAGTTAAAATTCAAACTTGTGGGACTGGAAAGTAGAACTTTTTCACTTTAAATCATTTTCTGAAAAGCTCAGTTTGGAATAATGAATGTAATTACAAAGTAAGTTAATCTTTTATAAGTTTGCATTGATTTTTTAAAGGCAATATTTAATGAAATCGTACTATCCAATCTAAGATATCCAATCTTTAGAATAGCATGAAAAAAATAAATTTCAGAATTTAAATAGGTATTATGAGATATTACTAAGTATGTACTTATGGTGTGATGGGTGCCACAAATGTAAAAATATCACTAGATCAGGGACTTGAATGCACTTTTGCCCTTGTTGCATATAGACTAACAGAAGAATTGTATTTAAAAGAAATATGAGAAAAGAAAAATGTGAAAGTTTTACAGATAGAGAGATGGAATGTTATGTTTAATGTTGATTTATGGAATGACAAAATGGCTTTGCTGGCACTCAAAGCTTCTCATCTATTTTTTGAGATATTAAGAGTTGTAAGATATGACTGAAAGACTCATCTAACCATAAACACTAAATGACTGTTATAGCCTCAAAATAACAAGTTAAGGCTTCCCACTAATTGCAGTGATACAATTTTTATGCAAAACATTTTAAAAACTCCAGTTTTCAAATTCGTGTTGGATCTAAATTCACTTTTAAAATACACTTAATGGTTATGAATTTCCCCCTTTTATAATTGAGTTGATTTAAAGTGGAAAACTTATTTAGAATAACAGTGATGAGAAGGGGGACAGTTTTTGCTCATTTAAAGTACCGAAGTAAAATATACAAAATAAGACTGATTATTATAACTAACTCAGAAATTCCAAAATATGAATTTGAATAACAACATTATTGGCCTAAGGATCTAGCAAAGGAACTGAATCTGACAAAATAAATATCTGGTATTTATGTTTTAAAAATACTCTTTTATAGTCACACTAAATAAAACAATATAGTAGGTCCCCCTATTTTAGAGATATAGTTTTTAACTACCATCACTTACCTGATCATTACATTGAACATTCTGTGCCATGATATCTATGTGGAAATTTAAAACCATTTTAAAATGTGACAGATGACCTTCATGCAAGTTGACAATAGTTCTGGTACTAAAAATTGTGGTGGTTTCTTATGTTTACGTAACCTGCTTAGCATTGAATCCCTCTTCCAAGAGGATCTTCCTGTGAAGACTGCCATCAAGTCACCTTTACTCTTAATGTCAGCAACCTGTGACATCAGATTTTTAAAGGGCTCATGTGAACTATGGTATAATTTTTCTATCATTTAAAAAAGGGTAATAAAATTATATGTTTATGTACTAATTCTGTTCAGAAAAATAAGCCAGGAAAAGATGATGGTATTCATTTGGTTTTGACTAAATGGAGATGTTCCTTATAATATCATTTGTATAGTAAGGAAATAACACTAACTCACTGTGTATTGAGTTTAAATGGTTATGTATTTTTAACTTGCCAAGAAAAATAAACAGCTTTGTACATTTGAAGATTTTTCTCCCAACACCTTTTCACCTTCAGTATCTTATTATGGAACTTAACCCTTAATCCCTTCCCTCCTCAGAAAAAAGTTGGCAAAAACAACCTTATAGCACAAACACTTTTTAAAATAAATAATGGTAGCCTAAAACTTCATATTTTTATAAAGTGTTATAATATTGTTTTGTGGATAATTGAAATAAAAATTCTCATTGAATGCACCCATTTATATTTTTTTGCCACTATTCATATTTTCTCACCAGATTTTAAAAATTGGTATTTAAAGCAAAGTATTTAGAAAAAAGCATTTTCAGTTCTATCTCTTGAGCAGAGTTAAATCAATTCTTTATTAAGTTCATTCTATGTGGTTTATTTTCCATGTCAGGGGAATGACATTATTTTTGCAAGTTGTTTTTTTTTTTTTTAAGTAATATCAGCAACTGTAGGTAATGTATTGAACAGAGAAACCTAAGTAATTTGAGTTAAGCTATTCTCAGAGAATCTGTGTTGAAGAATATAAAATAGAATAACCACTTTTGATCATAAGGAACTTAATTTTCTAGAAATGAAAAAATACATGAGCCTATTTCTGTGTATTTTAACTTCTATAAGTATAATGAAAATAAAACTATACTAAATTGTGAACGGACAATCAAAACCATGTTATTTTCAATAAGGTATTAGTGTTACCTTTTATTATATATATCTAAAATTATTGGCTTTGTTTTTCCCTGATGATTTCAGATGAGTAACATTTAGTCAAACATAATTTAGTAAACATATATTAAATATTTTTTACAATATAGTAATAGTGCATCAATATTTCCCTACTTTGCTAGTTGTCTTTTAATTTTGCATGTAATATTTTTGACATTTCAGTTGTACATTTGTATGTTGTCAAGCCTCCTTTTTTATGCTTAAAAAGTCCTTTGCATTCCAAGATTAAATATTCATCTCATTAAATTTTATGCTTCTTTATATTTCTCTTTAATTCATTTGGAAGTTATTTGAGTATAAAATGTGACTTAAGGAGCTAGTATGATTCCCTCCCCCATATAATTTTCCCAGCACCACTTATTGGTTAATTCATTCCCATCCGTAGTTTTTGGTTCTTATGCATCTATCTCCACACATCTATTTTGTCCAATTAATTTGCCATTCTTCCAACAAAACACTTTTAATTACATATTAATTGTATTAATATTAATTTTAATCACTTGATAATACATTTTAATAATTAAGCAAGTTGCCTTTGATAAATTTCTTTTTTTTTTTAATCTTGGTATGCCTACAAATTCCTGATGAGTTAAGATTTTTCATATTTCCAAAAATTTCAAGTGAGATTTTGGTTAGGATTGCATCATGCTTATAAATTAATTTGGTAAGGATTAACATTTTCCAGATCAGTCTCCCCATGTAATTTATGCAACACTTCGTTTACATCTCTTAGTAAAGATCTCCAGTACTTTTCTCTATGGAGTTGGAAGATGAGCCTCATCTCTTGTCTGATGACACTGTGATTGGTGAGGTGCTGTCTGTCCCCACCTGTTGCTGGTGGAAATGGAGCTCTTTTGGGGATGCGCAGGAATAAGAACTTCCTAAGGTCCCCATGGGAGGATGAGTTACTTCATTGCTGAGGTAACATTAAGGGAGTTCCCCTTCAAGGTTCCATCTCTCCAGCATGCCATGGAAAACGTCCCATTTTTATCTTCAGCAGAGCTAGAATCAAAGCCATTGCCCAGTGTTTCTGGTCCAATCCAGTCCAGCATCTGGCTAGGTTAGCTGTTAACAGCTGCATGCGCAGTCTGTTGCATGTGAGGTCTGCATGGCATGAGCCAAGCAACTGCTTCTAGGGCCACATGGTGGACTAGCACAGGTCACAGAGCAAGTGAAGAGCAGGAGCACAAGCAGCAAGAGAGACTTTGGGGGATTTTATCCCTTCAAGGTTTTGTGTGATAATGGTGGCTCCACCTCCTGGCCCAGTGGTCGGCAAACTCATTAGTCAACAGAGCCAAATATCAACAGTGCAACGATTGAAATTTGAGAGCCAAGTTTTTTAAACTTAAACTTCTTCTAACGCCACTTCTTCCAAATAGAATCATCCAGGCCGTGGTATTTTGTGGAAGAGTCACACTCAAGGGGCTTAAGAGCCGCATGTGGCTCCCAAGCCACAGTTTGCCGATCACTGCCCTAGTCAGTTGTCCTTGTTCCCAGGTTAGACGGATAGCAGGCACCTTTGCAACATCCCAACTTCACTGTGCATGCATCCATCTTCCACTTGTTGGCCCCCTTACTCCAGTGATTTGCAGGGAATGGACTAGTAGTTCCCTGTTGAGTATGAGGCTTACAACTTCCTGATCAAGCTGCCCAGATAAATGACCATGCTTACAATGCCTTCTGTTTGCTTCCTTCCTATTAATATTCATAACTAGCTAGTTATAACCGTACAGTACTGCTCTAAAGATTGCATCCCAGTGCTTCTGGAGACCGAGTCCCCACTTGGTTACAAAAGAAAGCAACATGCAAAGATGAGTGTGTACCCCAATAAATAGCATTTATTTCCTTAAAATCAGCTCCTCCCCTACTACTGTTCCTCCAGTTTTTGCTTTTTTGTTGTTTAAATAGAATTGAGTTTCTGTCACCACAACCAGAGTCCTCATTAACAATCAATGTGTCAATACTGAAAGGAATATTGATGAAAATAAATAGCACATGCTTTTATCATTTTGCCCCTCCACATCCACACACTGCTGAAAGGCAGGCCTGTACGTGTCTGTGAGTTCCCCTTCTGTCTGGATTCCTGTTGGCTTTTGCCAGTGAGGAACCCTAGCAGAAAAACAGGAATCTGAACAGAGATCAAGGTATTTCTCCCCCA